AAAGGTCAAAAGGGCTGGTGCGAACGGGACACGAGAACCCATGCGAGGCACTAAAAGTGATAAGGAGGAAAGGTGAAAAGGACTGGTGCGAACGGGACACGAGGACCCATGCGAGGCACCGCCCATGGTACAGATAATGATTTAAAACACGGTCAATCAAAAAACGGTTAAAAACTAGGGATGGCAAGGGCAGGAACGTACAATTGACCAGGTACAAGGATAGAATATGTCAAAGTAGTTGTGCAAGAGTTGAAACATGTGCTCGGTAACAAAATTACGGAAGGAAGCAGTAGTTGAAAAACTGCTAGGGGCTGAAAATTTACAGATATAGTTCCAGAGCTTAACAATACGATTAAAGTAAAAGGCCTGAAAAGTGCTAGTTTTACATACAGGAGTTTTAAGGTTAAAAGAATTACTTAGTCTGGTTCGGCCATGAGAAACAGGAGAGACAAAATCATAAATATTAAAATCAGTAAAACCATTCCGACACTTGTAAAAAAAAAAAAAAGATCTTTGAGTACGCGGTCAAATGTCAGAGGAAGAAGTTTCAAAGTTAAAAGTCTGTCTCTGTATGACATCACGCCTACATGTTGTTTGAGGATCCACTTTGTGGCCCTCCTTTGAACCCATTCAATTTTAGTTTTTAATACAATCTTGTCCGGGGACCAGACTTGGGTCGCGTAGGATAGCTGAGACTTCACAAGTGCAATATAAAGTGAGCGTCTTGCAGAGACGTCATTTAATAACAGGCACGTGCGTTTTAGAAGTCCAAGTAATTTGTTAGCCTTAGCAGTAATGGCATGGATGCGTGTGTTCCAGGTGAGAGAGTTGGTGATGTTAACTCCAACATCTCTTTCTAAATTATCAAGCTTGTAGGTGAAGTCTAGCGGGCTCTTTTTTCGAGTGATGGTTAGCGCCTTGCATTTAGAAGCATAAAACCGGACATTGTTGTGCCGAGTCCACGTGATCATGTTGGTCAAGGTTTTCTGCATAGACATGCAGTCATGGATGGTATTGATGTTGTGATATATTTTGGTGGAAAATATATTGGTGGAAGGCGAGCACTCTCACCACTACGCCAACCCTGCCCCCCCCCCCCTTGTAATCAGCGAATGTGTCACTATATCATTTGAGACCTACCCATTGCCCTACAACTGATTTCCAGCCGATGATGGCGGAGTGAATCCATGAGTGTGATCTGATGACGGCTTCTTGGAGAATCGTGCAACGTGAAAGGCACGCTCCTGACATAGAGAGAAACACGTAAAGAATTTGGGTTAGCAGCCAGCTACGCTTTAGGTGAAACAGGTTTACTGCTTGAAATACTAGTGACTAAGTGGTGATTGGATTTAATTTTGTATCTGATCGGTTGAAAAGTGGTACAAGCTAGGTACATGTAGAAATTTGACCGTGAAAAGTAAAAATAAACAAAACATTAGATACGATTGCTTTCCATTGTCACTTTCAGAAGGAAATATCGTCTAGTGAAAGGCGCGTTAGACTCTTAATCCAGAGATTCCGCTCTGACCACCAGTTGGATTTAAGATCATATGGTTGGCCTCCTGCCAGCTTTCAAACGTGCTAAGTTCGATTTGTGTCATTTGTTTCTCGTCATTTAAGTGTTTTCAATCGGAGAGCGACAAAGAAACCACTGGGTCATCAGTGTTCGTCAAGTCGTTTCAATTTTGTTAAGTTTTTTTCGTCTCTGTTGTTGTTTTTGTAATCGTTGTAGAGTAAAATTTCCGTATGGTTCGGAGTGACCTGCATGCATCTGGGTTAAAAGTCACACTATGCAAACCTCCAATAGAAAGACTGCCCCTGCAGCCATATCGTGCCGTTCATGTCACGAAGTCACGTGTGAACGTCACGTGTAAAGTGTGTGAAGTCACGTGTGAACGTCACGTGTGAAGTTATATCATATCGAGCCGTTCGTGTCACGCAATACTTTTAAAGCAAAATTGCTCTCTTTGTGATAATCGCTCGTGCGTAAAACAGAAAGTCTGCTACTGTATGAAAAATTTCCTACCATCCTGGATGACTGCCCCTGGTCCAATGACAACATTCGGTCCTATTCTGCAACCCTCTCCTATTTTAGCCGTGGGATCCTGAACAAATCAAAGAAATCAAACAACAGGACTCTCCTTAATACAGAAAACAACGGCTTCAAAAGTAATCGTAGCCGGTGATCAATTTCTACATTCTCGTGACCTTCATAGGTGATTCTGGGGGAGATGCTATTGGGAGAAACTAGGTATCAGTTACTCATAGCAGTTAAAGGATTACTACGTGAACTGGTGAGAGGTCTGGAAAGCTAGAGACTGGTACTGAGAGTTACCCTCTTCCCGACCCGTCTCATGTCTTCCTGCTAGCGGAGAAACGCGCGGTCTGGGTAGCATTGAGGGCCTGGGAGCGGGTCAGGGGCAGGATGGGAAATATCACAAGATGACTCACCACTAAGACATTGCCAATAATTCCTGGTCCCTCATGCAGACGGTTTGGGTGTTTTTCTCGCAAGAAATGGAGGAACATTCCCATTCCAGTCAGGAAGTCCTTAGGTTGACCTACATCCATCCAAAAACCTGTGGCAAGGAAAAAGTAATTCTGAATTTAAAGCAAAGATAAGGGAGGGTGTGAAGTTATATCATCATAACACAATGTTATCTAAAACCCCCCAAAATTTTATTTTTCAGGCTGATTATAAATGTACCTGATTAGGGAACGGAAGGGAAAAAAAGGGGTGATGGGACTGGAACTAGGATGATACAGCATTTGAAATTACCTGGAAGGTTGAATGCAAACAGTCCATCCTCCTGTGCCATTTTTGGAAATATTTCTTTCTCAATTGACGTTGGTCTGAGCTACAAGGAAGTAAAATGAAATACAAAGAAAATGCTAAATAAACGTCATTCTTGTTTTGCCACTGACAGTAAATTTTCGTTTCCAAGAGGTTTGGTTTTGCGTGGGTATAGGTATATTGTTCAAGTGATCCCAAGAAATTCTGATACAATGTTAGTCACTTTTGCTAAACTTAGAAGACATAACATCTCACCTCAATTCTGGATAACATCTTTGGGTTAAATATATACAGGCCAGCGTTAATTTTGTTTGACACATAAACTTGTGGTTTTTCCACAAATTTGTCAATCCGTCCTGTTTTGGCATCATAAACAACCACACCATATTTAGAAGGTTCTTCAACTTTAGTTACCTGTTTTCACACGAGATAAAATTAATTCAAGTGCCCAGTATATGGTGTATTTTAGAATTTTTTAATTCCTTGAAAATTAAGAAATGACTAAAGGATTCACATACTGAACAAAATAGGTGAAGTGTTCAAATAAAGTGTCAAATGAAGGGTAATTAGAGATAAGGCAACTGGCCCAACACTGCTCCTATCTGATATTTATCCCTGAATGCCGTAGCATGAATTGACTCAAGAGTATGGCAAACCCCTCCTCCAGCACCCTGCCACCCTCCTCCAGCACCCCATCTCCCTCCTCCAGCACCCTGGCCCCCTCCTCCAGCATCCTGCCCCCCTCTTCCAGCACCCTGCCCCCTCCTCCAGCACCCTGCTCCCCTCTTCCAGCACCCTGCCCCCCTCTTCCAGCATCCTGCCCCCCTCTTCCACCACCCAGCTTCCCTCCTCCAGCACCCTGCCCTCCCTCCTCCAGCACCCTGCCCCCCTCTCTCAGCATCCTGCCCCCCTCATCCAGCACCCCGCTCCCCTCCTCCAGCACCCCATCTCCCTCCTCTAGTATCCTGCCCCCCCTTCCAGCACCCTGCCCCTCTCCTCCAGCACCCCATCCCCCTCCTCCAGTTGGGAAACTGAATAAAGTGTTTCTCATCACCTGTCTGCTTGATATTGTGCTGAAACTGTGAAGAGAATTTCTGTCTTGGTCACTCATGGGGAATAAAGGGTTTATTTTCTTACCAAAAGACAGCACAATTGTCAATCGACAGGTGTATGTATAATCAAAGTATAAAATTATTGCAATAAAAAAATTGGCTGTGTGAATTCAAACAGAAATCAGAAACTTACAACTATTGTCCCCTCCTTTCCATGATCTTTGTGAAATTTTAACATTTCTTTGAATGGGAAGTCACACACAACATCACTGTTTAACACAAAGAAAGGCTCCTCATCTACTGTAAGGTGATCTCTTGCTAAAGCTAAAGGTCCAGCTAAAATGGAAAAATTGTGATAAATTTACTGTAAATTGCCAAATATTCACTTTCAGAGAGAGTTCACAGAGGTAATCTGAGTGATTTTGGTTTTGATAAATTATTTGTCATTGTTCTTGTCTATTCATTTTACGAATATCAATTAACATTTTCTTGTTAACACACGCAATAAGAAAAGCTGTTGATATGTTGGACACTATCAGATAAATCTTACCAGTTCCTAAAGGCTCCTTTTCTTGTGAAATTGTAATAATAATTCCTAGCTGTAAAAAAAAAAACAAAAAATGCATCAGAACTTTTATTGAAAAACATTGGAAAAAAATATGCAAAAGGACGGATATGATGACAATAGCAAGGTCACAAAAAGCACTACATCCTTGCGTATGCCGTGGTGAGTTTTAAAAATGATTTGTCCGCGATCGACTGGGATGCTATTATTGCCTCAAAAACAAATAATATTGATGAACTATTCTCATCTTTCTACAGAAAATTAAACTCAGTCGTGAATAACCATGCGCCTGTTAAAATTTTATCCAAACGTAAAATTAAACAACTTGCAAAACCGTGGATAACAAAAGGAATAAGGACATCAATAAAAATAAAGAACAAGCTATATGTTAATGGAATACATAGTAAATATAAATATTATAGAAATAAAATTACAAACCTTATTCGTTTGAGTAAAAAACGTTATTACTATGATTTCTTTGAGAAAAATACAAATAATATGAAAAAGACGTGGAAAGTAATAAATGAATTAATAAATAACCAAAGGACAAAAAGCAGAGTGTTAACGAAGCTGAAAGACCCAAGCAATAACAATCAAATAACACAAAATCCTTCCAGATTACCAAATATTCTAAATAAGCATTTTGCAAATGTTGGTAATTTACTAGCAAGTAAATTGCCAAAGAAAGATAACTATATGAGTTATCTTGGTAAATTGAAATCACCTGATTCTTCTTTCTTTTTCAAACCCATTACACCAGAAGAAGTTAAACAGGAAATATTATCCCTACCAAATAATAAATCCTGTGGCTTATACTCCTGCCCTACACAACTGCTTAAATCTTCTTGCAATATCATATCTCCAGTTCTTTCTTACATTTTCAATTTATCTGTTATCCTTGGTGTCTATCCTTCAAAACTTAAGATTTCTAAAATAACGCCAATATATAAAAGTGACGACGAGACCGACCCTTCAAACTATCGACCAATATCTCTTTTGTCTAATTTTAATAGGATTTTTGAAAAACTTTTGTACTTCCGGATGAAGGAATTTATTGACAAAAACAACCTATTGTACTCCTCACAGTATGGCTTTCGCAAGTCACATTCCACAGAGCATGCAGTACTTGATATTGTCGAAGATATACTACGTAATATGGATAAACGGTACTTCTCATGCGGTGTCTTTATTGACCTGAAAAAGGCATTTGATACGGTCAATCATGAAATATTACTCGATAAATTGAACTTTTACGGTTTCCGTGGATTGATAAATGACTGGTTTCAATCATATTTAAAAAATAGAACACAAACAATTCAGATTGGAGAGCATTTATCAACAAAACTTATCTCCCCCTGTGGTGTCCCCCAGGGATCAGTCCTTGGACCTCTTCTATTTTTACTTTACATAAATGACATTCACCTTTGTTCTGATAAACTAAAATTTTATCTCTTTGCGGATGATACTAATATACTTTATGCTGATAAGAATCTTAAGGCGATCGAGCAAACGGTTAATGTAGAGTTGAATAACGTACATGACTGGTTAACTACAAATAGGTTGACATTGAATACAAAAAAATCAAATTTCTTAATTTTTCGTCCTCATCAGAAAAAAATGCATTTTTCTCCACAAATAGGTATTTTAGATTGTGAGACAAACCGAAGAGTTAGTTTAGAGCAAAAAAGTTATATCAAATATCTAGGCGTTTTAATTGATCAAAATTTGTCATGGAAAAACCATGTTGACTCTGTTATCGTAAAAATAAGTAAAACAATAGGGATGATTGCAAAGCTGAGGTACTTCGTTCCCTCTACTATCCTTGTAAATATTTACAATTCATTAATTCTACCTTATATAACTTATGGACTCCTTGCCTGGGGCAATGCGTCAAATGCTTATTTAAACAAGATTTTAGTTCTTCAAAAGCGAGTTTTGCGCTTAATCTATTTCACCGATCGAAGAGAGCATGCCATCCCTTTATTTGCCAAAGCAAAAATTCTGCCTGTTACGTTCCTATATTATGAAGCCGTAAGTAAACTTATGTTTGACGTGCACAACCAGAGGGCTCCCATTAATATTTTGAAACTATTTACTAAAACATCTCATATTCATACCTACAATACTCGATCATCCAAATCGCAGCTCTTTAGTACAAAGTACTCTAGACTTAACCTACAAAAAAAGGCTTTCTCGCGTGTTGGTGTCAAAATTTGGAATAAGATACCGAAAGAATTCAAAACGTTATCAAAACATTCCTTTAATAAACAAATTAAAACGTCTTTATTTCAGATACTAGATAATGAAGATTCTTATCTTGATGTTGAAAAGATCTCCTCTAAACTTAAGGACTGCATAATTAAAACAAATTGATCCGATTGCTTTCAGTACTAATGTATTTGCTTCTATACTTTATTGAACAACTATTGATGTATTTGCCAGCTATGCTTCTTTTTATAACTTAACAATATCTAATTATTTAGTTTTTAATTTTCTTTATATATTGTAAATAATGTTTGTTGATGATTGACCCGCCTCGAATAGCAAATTTGCTATCTGCGGGTCAACATAATCTAAATTATTTTGTAAGAAAAAGAAAAATAAAGTGTGTAAAAGTGTGTGTGTAAAAGTGTAAAGTTGCAAAAAGAAAGAAGAGGGACAAAGAGAGGTAGTCGTATGAGAAAATGCCTTTTAACCAAGTTATTTTAGGCTGGACTGGAATATATTTAGCACTTGATCAATAATCTTAAGCCAAATATTTTTCCATCCAGCCTGTCCGATCAGTCAAGCGCAGCAAGGGACTCCCTCACTGACTTGGCCTATACAAATCTGGCATACAAAGAGGGTGTAGTTCGCAGTGTCTTCAATATAAAGCAGAGTTACACATTGTAATGCAATATCAAATAAGGGAAGGTTTTTAGGACCTTGAAAAGGGCTAGACTGTTGCATGTGTGGTTTTAAAATCTGCTGTGTACAATAATAGTTCTGTCTCAATATATAAGATGTAGCTCTGGGAGGTATACATGTCGCAAAGCTTTCAATTTTTTGTCTTGCACAGGTTTGTGAAATGAACAGATTTGTCTCAAACAGACATGTGATTTGAAGGTCTCAGAGGTACATAGGGCCTAAACTTCTTTAAAACCTCCCAAACCTTGGTTCTCTACTATCCAGTTGACATCCTCTTATACCTTTGCGAAGAAAAATTTGAGTGTTTTAACTTACTCTATCTTCTTGTTGTTTCATCTCTTTTTCCAACATTTCTGCACGGTAACTGACTGCAAGAATGATGTGTTTCACTCCAGCCTTTCAGGAGTAAATGATAAAAATCGTCAGAATAAAATCATGCCCATGTTTAGCAGACCAGCGGCTTCTATTGAGACACTCCCTAAAGGCTTTTCAAAATCTGATAATCTATTTTACTTTTCTATCCCCTTACCATTTGCCCATTTTCTTGTAAATAAAAAAATGGATCTTTTTGGTCACATGACACCAACTGATGGAATGATCGATTCTCATTGCTAACATAAAAGACAATGTATTAGAATTGTGATGGTTCAATTTTCGTTACAGAGATTTTACTAATGACATGCATGACTATATTGCACACGGATTCCCAATCCAAAGAGGAGAAAGAAATCAAAGCGCGAAACTGGGAGAAATCAGATTATATTAGGTGAGAATACCTATTTGAAATTTATTTAGTATACAATGTTTCAAGAAAGTATCTGTTGTGTTTTATACTTTACATGAGGATTTTAATGTAAATTTGGTTCTTGAAGTGATCTCTGTTCGATCAAATAATATTGTAGTTACTTTCAGTTGAGAAGGAACAAACACTTAAAAAAGGACAGCTTAAGGAATATTAAATTGAAACTTTCCAATAATATTCCAAGGGCGCTATATTCAAAACCAAAATTAAACTCGTAAAAAAATTCCAGAGCACTCGATCGAATCAGAGATCAGGGCCATTTTTGTTGTCATATTGTATTCTCAGCGAATCTTAAGCTAGAAAATCACCGAAGAACAAAGTTGGGGACTGTAATTTAAGCGTCTCGCTGAAAACTCGTGATCTCACGAACTCACCTCAGCCAAGGCTTCGACTTGATGCATTACCATCGGTTTGTTACAAAACTCGACTAATGGCTTGGGTTTTGACAACGTTAGCGGTCGAAGCCTTGTGCCATATCCTCCTACGAGTATTAGTGCTTTCATTCTCTTAAGCTTATTGACCGTCAAACGATCCTGGAAGAGGACAACATGAAAGGAAGGAATGAGAATTTTCCACCCACGAAGCGCCTTGCAACGTGTCGAGCAGTTCGGGATAAGAAGAGTTTATTCTTTAATCGCAAAAAGTACAAAAGTAGATAACTGTAATGAGTAAAGAAGTTAAAAACGTCGAATAATTTTCATATATCACATAGAATTACAACACTAGTAAGCTAGTTTGAAAATTAGAGGTCTTCTGAGTGGATTTCGAGTTTTTATAATGGTATGTATTAATTCATGTGACTGATTTTGGGTTAAATTCTCTATAGTAATTGTGGGTATATCTACCGCTGACATAGAATGCTGTCACGAAATGTCACAGACGAAGAAGAAAATACCAAGGTAATTTGTAACGCGTTGGAAATATCTTACCAGACAAATAAAACTATCATTGATTCATAAAAAAAAGGAAAACATGACGATTTCATTGACAGACAGTAAAGACCAAAGTGTCATCGCCTGTTAATTTTCTCTAGAGTTCCTTGATGAATCTAAATACAATCTCTCACCAGACTGAAATCCCTTCATTCGAATGCGAATACTTAAATGTCAGACGTCTGACTTCAAATGCTTTCTTTTCTCGTCAAATGATATTTTTAGTCGAATAATCTGTGAAACTCACTCATTTCCTTTTCCAGACGGAAGTGACGACACGTAACGCTACCATGACGTCATGTGAATGGCCGGTCCCTTGAAGAACTGACACGGCTGTGTTCTTGGAGGAGTGACCAATTTCTGTTTTGTTATTTTCCTCGAAACAATGTCTCATCAAACCGGCATTCAAGGTAACTTTACAGGAGAAGTTTTTATTTTCTTTTTTCATTGAAAAACCGTGTTTTTCTTGAAGGAATTCGTTAATTCATTATCACATCGAGCTTCTCTTACTTCGATCTTGGACTCGTGTCGATTTTTGCGGAAAGTTTTACGAAGGTTCCTCGGCTTTAACTTATGATAGCTTTTGTTAGAAAGGTCATGCAACGGGGTATTTACTCTGAATATCACAGATGGTTTCTGTAGTGAAATAAGTTTTATTGTTAAAGCAAAACAGACACGACAAACTTTGTAGCTGGTGTAAAGTGATCATAAGTTTTAGGGACCGTGAGAAGTATTCAAGATATTGAGCCGCAGACATAAACTGTTTGATTAAATTAAGAAAAAAACTACACAATCTCCCCTTTTAAAATATTGAGAAGTTTTATTTGCACACTAGCTAGAAGGATTTTATCCCTAGCATGGATGATATGCACAAGACAACTTGCTAAACCCTCATACATAGGCAGACCACGGTGAAGTTAATTTCAATAACAGCAAGTTTTGTTACACACTGTTATTAATACACACTGTCATTAATACACACTGTTATTAAATTTTTCCAATGGGTAAGTCTAAATATTCATAAAGGAAACTTAAATTAGAGAAAGGAAATTGATATAACCATGAACTGCTGTATATTTCCATTGGCTCTTGTTTAATGCCCTTCCCCCCCTCCCCTGAAGAACATCTGTGGACAAGAATTCCGTATATCCCCCATACTTGATTATGCATTCAATTCTTGGATAAAGGGAAGCTGAGGCAAAACAACAGATTTCCTTTGGGACTACGGCTTTAATTTTTATTGGTATGAGGTTGTACAGAAATCTTCCCCATCTGTCAATTGCTTCGTATTAAGTAGAAAAAAATTTTTCTTGTGTTAAGAGGTGGTAAATAGAAACTTACTTTTAGATAGTTTTAGATGTGGCTCAACTTTTTGACCCCTAAAAGTGGCCAGCATCTTATCTCTCTATACAACATCAGCTACAAATCACATGTTAAGGGTCATTCATGAGAGTAAAGGAAGTGATCACCGACTGAAAATGGTTTTGATTGTGAAACAAATTCTCCTTGTCAGTGCCTTAGCACATATATAGAAAACAGTATGGAGAATATGCATACTGATGTTTGTGTATAAATGATTAAATGTGTACAAAATTATGTAATAATCTGTTGATTTATCTTGTTGCCAGTCATTAGTAGATGACATAAAACAATTTTCAAGTGTGTGTCAAATGAGATAATTACAGTCATTTCTAAATTATTCAGTGATTTTGAGCAAACCTAACAGTTTAGTTATAATATAACCAAACGTTGATTGTATTTTACACAGCTAATGAAGAACTAAAGGCAATCTTTGCAAGAGCCAAACAAGGAAACATTAGAGTTATTAAAGTTGATATTCAGGATGGTGAGTATTTTTTTTACTGTTTTATTTATTTTTTGCAATACTTACTTTGCCTTAGAATGATAGTGGTGTCCCGATTTATACAATCAGTTCATGAAGTGAATTTTGTTTTATCAACTGAGTTTACTCTGTAAAGAGTTACTAAAGCTGACAATTTGAACATTAGTCTTTCATTAGAATGAAAATGGCGAATACTTGCTCAGTCAATAAAAACAAGTCATCTTATAATTTCCTTTACTGACATTGCATCAAAACGTCTTGAAAAACTTGCTTCCTCAGTGCACAGAGTGATTAATTGTGGCAATACCAGTAAATTAACAAAATCATGTGGCAGTGATTCAAAATTAAAATATTTAAGCTATTCTCTATTTCTTCAACTCAAGATTGGATTAAGGTAAAAGCTAGAAAAATGAGTTCCTGAAACTTTTTGGATGAGAGAAATTCATGTTTGGTCTTTCATGAGTGTGAAAAAGTTAGATTGAAAAAAAAAAAAAGTTGTCAATAACCAAAATGATAGGGAAGCATAAGCTTATTGATAAAAAAATTCTTTAATACACAGTACATGTTAGATACATGTGTGGAGGCATGGTGGTCTCATGGTTAGTGCGCTCGACTCCGGATCGAGTGGTCCGGGTTCGAGCCCTGGCCGGGGCATTGTGTTGTGTTCTTAGGCAAGACACTTTACTCTCACAGTGCCTCTCTTCACCCAGGTGTATAAATGGGTACCGGCAATTTAATGCTGGGGGTAACCCTGCGATGGACTGGCATCCCATCCAGGGGGGAGTAGAAATACTCCTAGTCGCTTCATGCTACAGAAACTGGAGTTAAGCACTGGCCTAATGGGCCACTAGGCTTGCAAACAGACTTTACTTACTTACATGTTAGATACATACTTTTTTCATAAAATGTATTGCTGAATTTTATTGTTTTACTTTTTTTTTCAGAGCAGTTACTTTGTGCCAGTAGCATGGAACCTGATGGAGACTGGGAGAATGATATCCTTGAAATGTTAGAACTCTCTCCTGTTTGATTTTAGTTAGTGAAAGTTGAAATGGTTATGTGTGAATTATTACCTCTCAATTAGTTCAGGAAGACTAGGGGGGAATTACCCTTTGCAAGACCTTCTCAAAAACTATCAACCACCACGCAAACTTAGGTCTTCAACGAAGAATCTACTTGTTGTCCCTGCCTTCCACACAAGTCAGATAGTTATGGCCATCGTGCTTTTTCTGTTGTTGCACTGCTTCTCTGGAACATTCTTCCTCAGCATGTTAAGGATGCTGGATCACTTGACATTTTTAAAAGACGGCTTAAAACTGCTCTTTTTACACATGCTCTTTGAATCTATGAAATGATCTTGGTGTTTTATAATCTTAACTAATTTTAATTATTTTAAACTATTTTTGAACTGTGACTTTGTGAATAGCACCTTTGGACCCATGGGAAAGGGCGCTCTATAAATGTCTTATTATTATTATTATTATCCTCTGTACTTTTTTTATACATTTTCTAAGTTGCTGACAAGAAGAATTTTTCAAACAATTAAGAGCTTCCTATTAAGTTAGTGATCATTTGTTTTATTCTCGTGACCTTACTATTTGATTCAGGGGTGATATTGTAAGGAGAAATTGGATGCTAATCACTCATTATGGTGGGTCAAAGGGCTAACAGGCTCTAGCTTCAAAGAATTTACAGTGTAACTGGTGATGATCAAAATGATCATGATGTTGAAAATGATCAATTGCTAAGAGTGAGATTGACTTGGATAACATTAGGTAAAATCTGTCTCCAAGCCAAGTGTCTCACTCAGCTTTTAAAAGCCTATTCCAGTTCCTTAGCATAAAGGGACTGTGAATAATACTTTGTACTACATTTGGCAGTATGGTAGCAATCTGATTGGCCCATTGCCACTGTGGATAAGACTACAGAGAATGATGCTTGCGTCAAAGTTTTCATGCAATGTGTCGTACGGTGAAAGAATCGTTTTATTTGATGATGACAGTGTGGTAAAAACAAATCAACATTGGTTAAGGGTTGTCTGTACTCTCATGGACAACAATATTTGTCATCACAGAGGTCAAAGTTTGTTGTGCACTCATTCAGCTGGGCCTTGTGAGTGCACATTACCACTGTCAATTTGTCACACTCCCTGCCAGCCAGGTATCACACTTCGGCCTCTCGCACCAGAATCCATTGCCACAAGATAGCAATACAGATAGTGCTCATTCTGTAGTGATTGAAGAAGGCACCCTTTCAGCGATGGAAGCTGGCCAAATGTCTTCATGAGTGTTGTCACCATTGCCATGCTAGTGTTACCACAAGTTGAAATCATTTTGCTGACCTTTTACTTGAATAAATCCTTGACTTAATTCACATTACGACAAATCAATTCTACCTCTGTTAGAAGAGGAAGAACCTTGCTATATATTTTATCGACTGGACTCCCAAAATAACCAAGGCTATGAATGGCTGTTCATCTCTTACTCTCCAGACTTTTCCAAGGTAAGTTAATTACGTGCAAAGAGCTAGAATTAGTTGCTTGTGCATTATAACAGGATAGTGTAACACCGACTGCTAGCAAAATTGATCAGTGATTGCCAACTGGCTTTGTGGCCAGCAATCACTGAGGAAAGGGCAACCTCAGGCAATTTTGAGGTCATGCGCTAACAATCATTTAATAGAAAATACCATCATCTAATTGGAAATAGTTGAATATTTGATGTTTTAGACATTATTTTTTAGCCATTTATTGAAAATCAAAAAAAAATTGCTTTCCAAGATGTCTAGTCTTGTTAAGTCTTGCAAGTCAATAGCCAATGTAAAATTACACTTTTTCCTAACAAAATTTCATTGGCCTGCATGTCTCCCTTTGCTTTTTATAACATCTTTCAGGAATTATAGCATAGAATGAGCCAGCTCTTTAAGGTAGTAGGGTAGCTTTTCTTCAAGCCTGGAATAGCTATGTTTTCACTTTTATTTTCTTACTGCAAGTGAGCCCTGTGCAGCAGGATTTAAAAACAATCAGTAGTTGTGTTTACCCAAACTTATATCATTAGAGTCTAGAAAAAGCATTTTAGCTCTCAGTTCCATTTCTCAACCTGAGATACAGCATAACTATTAAATGACAGGCTGACAGTACACATGTCTGTGACAACTGCGTGTATTTTATTCGCTTAGCCTCAGCGGAAGATGTTGTTTGCTGGAACAAAAGCTACCCTGAAGCAGGAGTTTGGAGGAGGCCATATAAAAGAAGAAATGTTTGGAACAAATCAAGTATGTAATATTCTGTGTGCGGTATATATAAGTTCATGCAGCAACTAGGTGGACAATGATAGGTCAATGAATTGTAATTTCCCAGTAACATTCATTAAATCTTTATACCAGAATAGCATCAAACCATTTCTGATTCTGTGTACTTTTTAAAGCATATTTTGTGATAATTAGAAATAACTCAGTGTTTAATCTTTAACTCCGTTAAGTTACCAAAATATGGAGAATGTGCTTACCGATGATGACTGGTCTTTTTTTACAAATTTATTTTAGCTCTTTCCTTTTTTTTTTTTTTTTAGTAACCAAAATTATTTCATTCTTATTGAATAAGAGAAAATTAAAGCCAACTTGAATCAGTGGGGCCGTCCCTTGCTGTACCTTGCATAGTATCAGGGCTTGGAACTAACAGTAGCCCGCTAGCCACAGAATAGTGGAAATTCAGTTTTAGCCAGTGGTTTTCAATTTCCACTAACCAGTTTGGCCAGTAAACAAACTGAAATTGTCGTAACATCTAAGATGTCACTGGCCACTTGGCTGGTAAGTTGGTGGCAAGCCCCATAGTATCCAATGGGCTCTTGTGGAATGATAACATCAAGTACACTTTACATGCATGCATGTGTGTTTTAAACCTTTCATGTGACTCCTACAACGCGGATATGTACTATCTGGAGATCTTTAACCAATCTAGGCTTACCAAAGGTTAATATTTCAATCATTAAACTTTAACTTTTTTTAATTCTTTTATTTTTATATTTATTTATTTATTTTTTATTTATTTATTATTTATTATTTATTTATTTATTATTTATTTATTATTTATTTATATATTTGTTTATTTTAGTCTGATATTTCATTGAGTGGATTTAAGAAACACAAAGCTCATGAGAGTGCTCCTCCCCCACTCACAGACCAGGAGCTGGAACTTGAAATGGTAAAACAGCAAGAGGTAAGTGATCGGATATTTTAGAACTTTTTTTCAAATGCGACTAGCCATGTTGTGAACTAGTAGCATGGGACTTGAAATAAGTTTTCGAAATCTGGAAATTGGAAAAGTTTTAGGCTATGAACTATCCCTCCTTTTCGGCAAAGTCTGTCACTTGAGTCAAAAAAAGATCAGGTTGAAAAATTACTTTAATGAACAGTGCAGGACTGTGGGAGTAAAGCGTCTTATTCCCTGAGTTTTTTTTTTCTTGACTAATTAGGCATTCTATCCAGTCACTCTGCCATGTACGAACATGAGATCTTGCCTTCAGTAGTACACCAGCTTTTGATTGTCTTAAATGTCATGATTGAAATGTGCCAACTGTTTTTTTTTTCCTTCAAGAGTCTTTTTTTTTTTACAACTACAGATGCGCGCAGACATCAGTGTCGACAGCAAACAGAGTCACATGACTGGTGTCCAGTTTCCAGTAACAGATGCTGCTCTAGCTAAACTGGCAGAGCTCAAAGATAAAAAATTAAGCCTGGTCCAATTAGTAAGTTTCATGTGATTACATAACTCTAATATCGTTAACTTTTTTGCGTTTTTGTTACATTGTTTCCACTTTTTGCGCCCGTGAAGTTACTTAAACAGGCGAGAAAAGGGCCCCACTGCGAAAATCTGTTGCCATGTTTATATTTAAGATCGACAGATAAGAATTTTTAAAATTTAAAATTAATAATACTTCTTTTTTTCCGACAGGAACTTGACATTGAAAACGAAACAATTGTTCTTGCGGATGCCAAGGAGAACGTTGCTGCCAATGATTTGGCACAAAATATTCCTGAAGACAAAGGACGATATGTTTTCTTTCTCTTTAAACACACCTTTGAAGGCGATTACATGGAATCCATAGGTAGGGAACTGGTATTAACGGTGAATGAATAAAGGGGCTAAGTTTTAAAAGAAACTGCGGTGCTGCGTGGGTGGGGGTAATTACGGTCTTTTCGTCCAGAAGTCTTTTCGTCCAAAAGTGTTTTCACCTAAGTCTGTTCGTTTACTTGTTAAGTCTTTTCTCGAAGCAAATAAATAACTTTTAGAAGGCTAGATAAGGCTATAGAAAGAACTTGTAGCGAGCCATTCACGTAGTGATGTTACACTTCGTTGCCCTTTACGCTCAATAGACGCTTACAACAAGCCTAATATTCCCATTTCTTTTGCGTGAAATAATTAAACGGCAAGCAAGTCTTTACTTTTGCCACTATTTAACAAAGTATATTGTGTTACAACTTCATTCATTCTCTATGTATTTATCGTAAAATTCATGACGTTGAATTCGTAAAACGAAGATTGGTGACTAAAGGTATCGGTACCAAAATGGCGGCGGCTCGCAACAAGTTCTTTCTATAGCCTTATATATCTAGCCTTTCAAAAGTTATTTGCTTCGAGAAAAAACTAAAAAAGTAAACGAACAGACTTCAGTGAAAATACTTTTGGACGAAAAGACTTGGACGAAAAGACTTGGACGAAAAGACTTTTGGACGAAAAGACTTGGACGAAAAGACTTTTGGACGAAAAGACTTTTGGACGATAAGACGTGGACGAAAAGACTTTTGGACGAAAAGACTCTCGGACGAAAAGACCGGCCACCGGTGGGGGCATTACAAGATAATTTGATAATGTAAATTCGCCACCGTAGAGAGGTTCTCAGTAATGCTCATGTTTCGAGCGGAGAGCTCTGACGAAGGGCTAACGCTCTAAACGTCGGCTTTAGAAACCCTTTACAATGGCCATGTTACATTAATAACTCAGGTAATAATTAACAATTATTCCACGAGCGCGCTTTGGATATGAGATGATAAATAGCCAACGAGGCGCTACGCGCCTCGTTGGCTCTAGGGGAATCCTTGTTTACAATATATGCCTCATTAGCATAAGCAATTCAGTTTCTGATGGAGCTAAAAATAAATCAGTTCTGAATATCGAAAGGTCAAAGTACGATTAACTCGGCCAATGAATACGAGCCTGATGCATTGAATACTTTTTGTGCAACACGGGTTTAAAAACTCAAAATTTTTACATAGAATGTATGAGCTCATTAGCGCTTTTGCCACCCAGAAATTTTGCAGTTTTTGATGGACTATTTTTCCTTGAATATTACACCCAAAGAGCTAAAATTTTCACCATGTACTAAGGTTTTCCAGCTCTTTAGCTGCCTGAAGTCAATTTGTATCTAACATGGTTCCTTCTTTACGCAAAGCCGTATGCAAATGAGCAAAAATGTAAACAACGACGTCAGCATGAATCCGCCTATAGTCATCTCATATCCAACAAGCGCCAGTGGAATAATTGTTTTATTAAAAACGCACCCAAGATATTAGACAAATCTTGCCAAATCTTAAATTTTTAGCTCTCTTTTAATTTTAAGCTGGTGCGTACTCTTGCCATATTTGTAGATTATGGTCTATGGCCTCATAGACCATAATGGCTAAGCCAATAAAAAGTCTTGAATTGCATTATCCAAATGATCCAGTTTTGAATAAAAGGAAATTATCCGACAATAACGGTGAGTTGGGAAAGTGTGATTGGGAAAGTGCTTTGGAATGGGTATTCTTGTCACGACAAAACAAAATCCAGTGTGTACACAAACCTCCGAACATGGAATGGTGGCGTGGTTCACAGTTGTGTTTTCCAGTAACTCATTTCGTTTGCTTAAGTGGTTGAAATTAGCTTAAATATCTGCCCATGGCATCCAGACCGCAGTGAGTTAACGCGCGGGCCTTCACTTAGCTCGCAGGATTCGAAGCTATCGCATGAAATCGAAGAGAGTAGTCAGCTAGTCCAAGATGGCTCCCAAACGCCTGAAATAGCAGAGCATCCTGACTGAAGCGGCACAAATAGTATGCGTTTTCGTAACGAACGTAATAAGTTTAGGGGAATAACTTAGACCCTAGACCGTACTTCAAAAGCTATCGCTCTTGACTTAGTTAAATCTGGTCGTGGGTTCAGCGTGTTCTTAGACAAGACATTCAACTCTGACATTGCCGCTCTCGATCTGCTTTGCAGTGTTTGTGTATTCAATGCCTGGATACAAATGTTCGATAAAGGATCGCATGTTATATTCCACATGCAAAGGCCCACTGTTAGATGTAGCCACAGACAATATAGGTCTTGTAATTGAAAAGAAGGTAAGTTTAACTGTGTACTGGTGACATGTTCCTTGCATTTCTAATTTTGTTTGCTGCTTGTTCGGCTCCCATTTTTCCTTCCAACGTTTGGTCTCTCCTCTTTATCACTTCGCACTGATTATGAGCCCCTGAGCATCTTCGTGGCATAGTGCTTCGTGTCTTCGGCTTTTCGTCATTTCCTGCTTTGGTGACATCGTGCCTACGGACCTTCTCTATTCGTGCCTTTGTGACGTCTCTTCTTGCCTTCTTCCGTTTGTGCCTTCGCACTTTCGGTCACTCGGTTCTTTTGTGCCCTCGTTGCTTTGTCGTAAATAATGTATTGTGTATTTTAAAAAGAGAAACGATGACTAATCGAAGCTGTCCTTCGCTTTAATTATCCGTCTGATAGGCCCAAGTGATTTTGGGCACTTTTTCCTTACCAGCCTCAGCGAGTTTTTTTGTTTTGTCTTGTTTTTTTTTTTATTATACTCTATCTTTGTCCTGGTTGCTCGTTTATCGTAAAGGACTTGTCATTTTTTATTCGGCCTTTGTGGGGGATCACATGGCTTTCATTGGGAATGGAC